CAAGAATGGAGTTGTCTTTATTTTATCAGTGAGAACAGGAGAGGTTCTTGATTATGACGTCAGAACAAAATATTGCCAAGAATGTGTTTATCACGAGAAGGATAATAAAAATAGCAAGTCTTATCAAGATTTGTTGGCTAGCCATACCAGTAAGTGCTGCATAAATCACCAGGGCTCTTCTGATAGCATGGAGACAGCAAGTGCAGTGGATATGTTTCTGCGCTCAATAGAAACAAGGTCCTTAAAATATGGCACTTTTGTTGGTGATGGTGACACAGACTGTTTTGGAAATGTAAAGGAGGAATGCTAAAAGAAATATAGTGACCACTATATTGTAACAAAAGAAGAATGTGTAAGGCATATTGAAAAGAAACTTGGCACAGCTCTATGCAAGTATAAAATAACAATGAAGGGCAAAAAGTTAAAAGATTGAAAAACAGTTGGTGGAAAAGGTCGCCTGACTGACAAAGTCATTGATAGAATGCAGAACTTTTTGGCCAAGCAATAAGAAAAAATTCTGGCTTGAAAGAAAGCATGAAGAAAGGCATGTTGGCCATTCTGAAGCATATGGTAAAAGATGACACACTTTCTCTTGACCAGCAGCATGAAAATTGCCCAAAAGATACATCAAGTTGGTGCAAATTCTGGAGTCAAAGGGAATGTTATGATAATGATAAAAGACTACAATCTGCATTCTATGAAGAGTTGAAGCCAATTTACCACAGATTGTCTGCTGATGCGCTGCTGGGCAAATGTTTGCTTAGTTTAACACAAAATCAAAATGAATCCATAAATGGCATTCTTTGGAGCAAATGTCCCAAAAGAAAGTTTTGTGGGAGGCAGAAATTGCTGCTAGCTGTCGGTGAAACAGTTTGCAAATTCAATGCTGGAGCAGCTTCTTTGGAGGAAATCTTGAATGAATCAAAGATTAAATCAACATCCAATTCCTTAATTACATTGAGGGACATCGATTCAAAAAGGCTGAAAAATGCTGCAAAAAAAGTTTCAACAAAGGCCTGACTACAGCAAAGAAAACTAAGAGCAAAGAGAAAAGGTGCTGTTGAAAAGGCAACAAGCTACATTTCTGGTGCATTTGGTCTTCACAAATCACCAGAATTAGATCTGCATGAAGGATTTGAAATTATTTATCAGCAAAGTGAGACTGTACGGGCCTGAAATAAAATTTATTGACGAGAAAAATATTTTGTTAGTTAGAGTAGAGATATTACAGTAACATTACAGTAGCGACCCACCATCTTGTTTTTGCTAAACAATTAGACAATAGAATTCATTTATTAAAGTCTTATTTTTTATAAATTTTGATAAAACTGACATAATACAGTTCCACTTAGCCAGTATCTAGCTATCCAGTAACAAAGAATCTTTAATATTGCTAAAAGTTGTTCTACTAACTTTAAGGCAAGTTTTCTCAAAAGTTGAATTTTGCATTCTGCCGTTACTCTGCAGACTCTATCTTTTGATTAGATTAAGGTATCATGCTGAATTTTTGACACTATGTGTATTTTTTGAAGCTTTATGACATGATTGTTTCAAATTACTTCTTCACTACTTCTGAAATGAGGTATTCTGTAAAAACAGTTTTTTTAGGTGTTTAAGTTTTTAAGTTGACAAAGTAACATTTTCCATTTTATTTGGGAATAAAATCTTTTGTGGTTCTTGAGATATATTCTGCAGACCAGTTTTAATATATTTTTGTCATGACATTACCCCCCCTCTAAATAACAAATCTTTTCGAAAAATAGAGACATATTTATATGTTACAATCTTTGATCTACATACCTAGAAAACTTTGACTTCATATCTTATCTGTGTTGCACCATTTTCATTCAGAGGGTTTTTTTATCACAAGCACTTTCATCGATGGAATGCTGGGCTCGACAGTTTATGAGTAGCTGAGCTTGTGACATGTGAATAAGTCTAATTCAAGTAAGAAAAAACTAAACTGGAGGATAACTTGCTTTTCTTACTCTGAATTTTAAAACAAATGGCTCAACAAAAGCCTGATTTGTACTGACCAATGATAGAGGTGGACGAAAAAAGGGCAGATAGTAATTCCTAGCTTTTCTCCATTGTGCACTTTTTTGCATGCCAAAATTTGGGTCATTCCGTAAGGGGCAATGGCCTAAGGTTTACACGTAGAAGAGTGGCCTGTAGTAATGTTGCTCATGTAGAAAGAGAGAAAAGCTTATAAGACTGTCTTTACACAAGCATTTAGCTTATACAACAAAGAATTTGCTTGTAGTATGTTGATTTTTAAGACAGTATTAAAAAGCTGGGAAAAAACAATTTTTAGGTGTGACCTGACTCTACTGGCAAACAGTACAGCATTGAGGCAACAATTTCTTAAGTTTGGCAAAATCAATCACCTGGAAAGACTATGTAAAAAAGCTAAAAAAAGAAAGTACAAACAACGGAAAAAAATGAAAAAAAAGTTTATCAGATTTATATTTATTTTCATTGGAATCCTATTTCATGAATGATTGTGGATTGTATCCATAAAGATAAATCATTCAATTGCTTCAAAAAAATTAGACACAGGGACTGATGTCAAAATTGTCATTAAGGAAATACCAAATTACGACACTTGGATATCAGGTTGAGGGTATATGGAGATGCTGGAGATGTTACAGGGCAGGGTATCTTTCAAATTAGACAGAAATGAAATAAAACTCTATAGGCACTGTTTGTTTGAAGCCCGAACAATGTTAAGTCAATAATAGGTAGGGAATAAATAGAGAATATAGGGTTTTGAGAAAGAAATCTCAAATAAGCAGCTCATCTTTGAGAAATACTCAGACTGTTTGAAAGGATTAGGATGTATAACAAATATTGCAAACATTTAATTAGCTGCTGATGCTGTGCAAGTGATATGTGATGAATTTAAAAGACAAGTGACACGCATTTGGCGCCAATTTTTTTTCTCATAATCTAATGTAAAATGCTGTATGAGAGTGTTGTTGAAATTTTTTTCCTTTCTGATTTCATTTTCCTACTTAAAATCCTTTTCAAATTATGGCGGGAAATGAATCATGTGACACCGTGATGTAGATTGTCATAATCTGTTTATGCTGCTACTGGTATACATGCAATACATGCATACAATATTAACGTTTACAACATGCTTCTAAACGAATTCAGTTCCTCTGGACCTGTTGCGTCGTGTTTCGTAAACTCTCTATTAATGACAGGAAAATTCTGAGTTATCACAATGTACGTCATAGGGTCATGTGATAAAAAGCAAAATCACGCTCCCTGCGCCCCCTGATTAGAATTTTTTGTATTAAACCAGAAAAAACTTACTTCTAAATGATGATCTATAAGTTAATGAAAAGGAAAGATAGGGTGAAAAGTGTGTCACTTGTCCTTTAAAATAATTATTAGGAAGGATGAAGAATATTAGTCTCATTAGAATGGTAGAAAAAAATTACATTATGGGTAAATCACTCGCTTTGGTTACAAAACCAAGCAAAAAATGTGTGTCTATCTTAATCTAAGAAATTTGAACAATGCAATTATGAGAGAACAATACAAGTTGCCCACAAAAGAATGATGATGAAACTTCCTGTAAGAGCTTCTTTTCTATATCCTGTCTGATTGCACATATCATTTTTTTTTTTTTTTATATTCTCATAAAGTTTTACAAAACAGACAACTACAAGACGATACCACAGGGAGCACATATCATTAAAATCAGGGCATAAACAAAGTAATAATAAATGTTCACTGAATCATGTAGCAATCCAAATATGAATAAGATCATCAAGAATTCTTAAAAGAAGCAGATATCAAGAAACAAGAATAAAATTCAGCTAAGGGTGAGCTATAAATTAAAAAAAGTCAAGCACAAATTAAGCTAAAGCTAAGGGTCAGCTACTGGAAAATGTTATTTCAGACAATTTTGTGAAAAACTGAGCCACTGGAAATCAAATTGTCGGATCAAACTGTCATCAACTACACAATGAAATACCAGTATCTCTGTGTCCGTGTAGATAGCTCGCTAAACCTGAATTCAAATTTCCATACTTGTTACTAAAAAGCGTCTGGTAGGCTACGACTTTTAGCAAAAATAAGATTGTATCTTGATCAAGCCACAGCTGCTAGAATTTATCACTCAATGGTACTCCCAACATTCACATACTGTGGCATAATGCAGTTGAAATACATTAATACCCAGTTGAGCAGGCTTTCATGACTTCACTCATGTGCGCTGAAAATAGTCTTTGGAGATGTAAGACCAAAGCAGAAGCTTACGTCGATCCTCAATGCTAACAAGACTAGGGCTTGCAAGCTGGTATGAAAATGTCTAGACAAGGAAACTTGTGAACAGTTGCACAATCATTTCACTCTGCAAGAGCATGAAAAGCAGACTCGAAACAACAATTACACATTAAAACTACCAAGGATCAAAACTGAGTACAAATGAAAATCGTTTGAAGGGTGCAAAAGTGTACAATGATCTACCGCTGGAACTTTGTAAGATGGAGAACAATAAGGAATTTGAGAAACTACTTAAGGAACATTTTCGATGACATTTATCTTAATATTTTACCTGATGTAATGAATGTAATTAGGTAGACCGTCTCTTTTTACATCTGTATTCTTACTTTTATTGGATTCATTTTTAACTGTAAATATTTATGGAATTAACATTAAGGCATAGGACACAGGGCACACATTAATAACAGCAGTTTTAACTCGTTGAAGTATATAACCTGTATAAATATTTGTCTTATTATTATATTATTATTATTATAAAACCCATTGAATACTTCATTTATGCTGGGGCAATCTTAGCCTTCATTAATTTACTTGCATGTATTGTTGTTCATTTTCGTCGCATTGCGGTGTTTCTTATTTACTACTAAAAGTTTTTTTGCCACCTAGAGGACCTTTGTTAGCAAATGAGGCCTGAACAGTACTGAATTAACCACAAAGAGAAATAAAGTTAATTGGTTAAGACAAAATACTATATAGTTTACCTACCATTTGCACCGGTACATATTTTTAGATTAGCCATCATTTCACTGTTTACACCTAGAATATGACACCCTCCAGCTCCAGCTCCAATAACAAACGGATTTCTCATTTCAATTATATTTGCTAGATCGCCGAAATTGTAAATTCTTGTCTTGTCTGGGGTTGGTATAAGGTAAGGAACACCACCAACATCCAAAATTTTCGGACTACCACCGAGTCCAGCGTCAGCCAATCCAAATGGTTCTTCCGTTAGGTTTGGGCAGTCGACGACCGACACTGAAACCTTTCTGAAACTATTCCTCATGCCCACCTCAATCTGACAAGCTAATTGTTTCAAATCTGGCTGATGGAGGGCCCTCTTTTCCACTTTCAAACTCTTCACACAAGCCATCATGCACGCACTAACATAAACTCCAGGAAATAATATGAAGGCGAATTAGGCCAATTTTCAAAACGAGTCTGTAGAGGAATAGAAATTTCTATGGAATTCGCCAATGATTGAGAAAGAGACTGGTTGCAGTAAACCTTTTGTAAATAGGACAAAACTGTATTTTCGTTTTCTGTAGTTTTATTACTTTTGAATAGCTGAGTTTGGTCTCCACATTTCAGATATTCAGGCAACGTTTTCTGGAGTAGTAAATTATTGAAAATATAATAAAATATAATAAATGTAATATAATAAAATAATAACTTGAATATGTGCCACCCATACAGCTGGGTTTTCTACCATCAAAGATTCTAAACATAAAGAAAATGTTGACGAAATTATCCATAAATGAAAATGGTTATTAAATGGCTTTGTCACTCACTATTCACAATATTTGGTTTTATAAAAACCATAGCTGTTATAAATGGACTGGTTGTAAAATTTTGATTGCCCGCTACGTTTTTATACCGATTTATCCTCCTTAGGTTCCTGGAGTACTTCTGAGGGAACACATTTTTTGTTTATCATTTATTATCTTTGCCGCTCTCCCTCTTGTGGCCGACCTTGTCACAGACAAACTTTTCATTCTCTGCATTTTGGTGCTAGTGATATCATCCTTCTAGTATATTCTAATAGATATTAACATAACGAGAGTAGTCAAAGAGGTCATCATATTTCAGGGCACTTCTTGTCCCTCTTCGAAGAGGGCAGGAGGGGCAGCTAATAATAATAATAATAATAATAATGCAAAATGTATATAGCGCCACAATATAAAAATACTTTGTTGCGCTTTACAGTCTTACTCCTATTTACAATGTAAAATTTAGATTAAGAATAAATAAAAACATAAGATAAAAAGCATGTTTTCATTTACAATGGAAGAAAGATGTTCATGTTTATGCTTATACTCAACCCCCCCCC